GAGCGGCTCTTACTACCGGAGCGGAGGTCGCCGTTCCCGATCCGCCGCCGCTTGTTTTCCTTTCGCGTCAACTTTTTCCCCGTGTCCGCGAAAATATCCGCGAAATAAATCCCGACGGACGTAAACATCAGAGTGAACTTCTTCGCGCGGATGCGGGCGAAGTGGAGAGCTTGAGCTGAGAGTTAAGAAGCGGCAGAAGGAGGAAGAGGAGGAGGAGGAGGAGGAGGAGGAGGAGGAGGAGGAGAAGCAGGAGGGCGGAAAAGCAGAGCCTGAAACTTGGGGGACTTAACGCTTCGCAAAATTGCTGCTGCCGAAAACGGCTGCTTTAACTCGCGTATATGCGGGACGCCCCTCTTAATTACCGTGTTTTCGCCGGTTAATGAATCGAGACCCCAAACTTACACGTAGCGGTCGAACTCTGAACGTGCGCCACCCCCTCACCCACACACTCGCGCGCGCGCGCTCTCTCTCTCTCCCCCGGGGAAATTTTATACATAGTTAATCGCCGGCTCTTTTGTATCGCGTGTGTATTGCTCCCGAAGGTCCCGGTGTATTGTAGTGCGCATAGTAGTAGTTATCGTCGGATCAGATTGTAGGCGAGGAGGAGAGGCAAGGTTGTTGGCGAAATGGGAGCGCGAGCAGAGAAGGGCGGACCGCCGAAGAGGGTGACGGCGAGGGGTAAGTGGCAAATTACTCGGTCGCCGAGAGATCGGATAATTAATGCCGCGCGACTCTGTACTACAAATATATGAACTGCTCGTGGCATGTAGCTCGGCGGCATCCACGTGTCTATGAGTGTACACGCCCATACATGTGTATCGCAATTCCTGCGATAATTAGCTCGGCAAATCGATCGTTCTCGCCTCGCTCGTTACTTCTCATCCTCGGTGCACGCGTTCTCGTCGAGCATTCGCGTGTCCGCCGCGTGTCTTCGCCGACAGACGGTGGAATTTGCACGCACGAGGGTGTGAAACGCGTCCCGCTGACTTCTGGAAAAAAGGTGCGACGAGAGAGAGAGAGAGAGAGAGAGAGAGAGAGAGAGAGAGAGAGAGAGAAAGCGCGTTCGAATTCGACCGGACGTTTATCTCGATCGTAGCTCGTTCGAGGCCGATGTGTCTCAATTAGTTGACGGCGATAACCGCGCGGTGACCGAAAATGGGAATTATCGCGTGAGAAGCAGTGAGCCCAACTCGTGGGAAACCTCCTATAGACGGGCCATTAATCAAATGTATCAGTCGACATTAATATGTATTGGTTTCGATGGCGGTATAGCGCGCACGCGGCGGTGCTGATTGAGGCTGATTACAATGTCGATGATAATTCGAGCGTCCTAATGCACGGTGACCCTGTGTGTATCGGCCTGCAGGAAAAGCAAACGGTCGATTTCCCGGCCAAGGAGCGCGCAGTCACGAGAGAGAGAGAGAGAGAGAGAGAGAGAGAGAGAGAGAGAGAGAGAGAGAGAGAGAGAGAGAGAGAGCGCGCGCGTCAGAGGTCGAGTGTTTTGCCCGCGGTGTTTTTGCGAAAAGCAAAATTTCATACTTCTCTCGCCGTTTCTAATATATTAAGCAAAACGCTGGGACGATGGCATCGAAGGAGAGAGCTTGACAACGCGGGCCGGGGCGTGGGAAAGCGCCGATCGGATTACTCGCAAGCGCGGGCAAACTCATTAAAGTTAAATTAACAGAACTCTCACTGGCCGTATCGCGGATAGTTATCGTGACAATGAGAGAGGAAGAGCCGGAGGTGGAGAAACGCCGCCGGGATGAGAAAGAGAGTAGAGACGGCGGCGGGGGGTTATAATTCACAGAGCACTTTAGCGTGAACCAAAACGTTTCTTCTTGCAGCTTACAAAAATATCACATAAGTGGCCTTAAAATAACATCGTCGTGCAACAGTGCAACAATCTCGCGATACAGCGACTTATGTTTCGCGTCTCTTTCGTTTCTCGCTGAGCTAGGATGAAGGTACACGAATCAGACCCGCGTTCCGTTCGCTGCGACCAATTCCGTGACCGATCGTCACGCAGCCCTCTTCTTTCGAGCAGCCCTCTTTCGCCCGCGAGCATTGAATTATCAAATACGTACGTCCGTCTCTCACTGGCATGAAAAAAATTAATGTCGCAAGCGCCTGGTGGATCTCTAAGTACGATTAGAATTATGAGCGCGCGCGGACGATCGCTCGATTCAATTCGCAGCTGTGTGAGTGTGTGTGTGCGCGCGTATGTATATATGTATGTATATACGTATGTATATATATGTATGTATGTACGTACGCTTGTACACGTATGATAACGACTAAGCCTGCCCCTCGGTGAAACACATCTACGGGCGATAATCGGCGGGGCGCGACTTGCACGCGCGACTCGCCGGTTCGCGAGCGTCGATAATCTCCGCTTATTGCTTATAGAAAATCACGATTTGCGCGTGCAACGTGCGACTCGACGATTACGCTCACACAAAGCTGTTGCACACACAGCGGACGCTCAAGCGACTCAAAAATCCAATCCTCTCGAAAGCGGCCCGGCCCGGCTCGGCCCGCCAACGAAAATACGCCCGTTCCAGATCTCCCCGCAGGAATGCTACGTACGCTCGGGGGTGATTAAGCGGTGGAAATATCTTCTCCTTGTGCTATCGGATTCGCGAGCGACCGGCGATAAATGGAACGAGACAGAATGTGAAAGTACGATGATATATGCCAGTCGGCAGGCCGTTATCTCCGAATGTGAATCCGTAGCCGGTGAATCTCTGCTGAAGCGATTAACGGAGATTGCAAGACTTTATCCGCGGGAAACCCTCTTAAGCGCCGCACTGTGTGCTCCGCGCATTGTTCGACGTTTTCCTTTTTTTTTCTTTTTTATCCCGAAACCACGTCCTTCGGCGTCGCTCGCTCGTTCGCTCGCTCGCTTGCTCGCTCGCTCGCTCGCTCGCTCGTCGCGACTTCGATCGCACGTTGCACGGACGTCGTCGTAACGTAGCCGGGACGTAGCTACCGTTTTAGTGATGCTCCGTTTCAATAGGCTACTTATGTCCCGCTTCTTCGGCGTCAATGCCACCTCGTCAGCCACGGAGCTTCTGCTCGCCTAAGAGTCTTGCGTGATCGATTAACATTGACGTTGTAAAAGAAGTAGAACCATCTACCGTCTGTGGGAAGCGCATGTGCGTCATGGGGTCCGGATCCCATGCGGCGAATACACAAGTCTCTCAAAACAAGAATTTCTGTGAAATGTATTCCCGACACCACTTGAACCACTTTGCGCGACGTTGTGAGATCG